CTAGTCCTGTGAGCCGTTCTGGTGCCCACCACTAGGCTCTGACCTACATTAAATCCATGCAATCCAAAGCGCTATGCCAGCCAATAGAGGGGGATTATTAGAATATTGAGAATGCATGAAAGGTCTTCTGAAGCCTGCAGGCACTGTTGCACTGGTACACTGAATTTAGGATAAATGCACTGGCCTATTAGGAATCCAGTTTGTTAGAAACTTCAGCCACTACGCTAGCAAGTGGCATGTAAACTTAGCTCCACTGTAAGGCCTAAATAGCACAATTGTATATTGTCCTTAGTACATTATATTACCTTTGGTTATAAAACCTGCAAAACTTGAACACCCAGAAACAAATTGAATCAGATTGTGTCTCCTCTCTAAAAACTAAGCAACACATTTTTGGGACAATTTTGTCACAGGGGACAGAGGGGTGTAGACAGACAACTGACTGACAGAATGGCAAAGGTCTTTGTAATTTGACAATACAACCTTTCTTTAATGTGATGATATTAGGTGAAAGAAGTTTCATGTTTCATCTTGTGCTCGTATGTAATATTGGCAGAACTCCCCTCTGCAGCTTTAGCACTTGTGTGGTTAAACACAACTGCTCGCACACGGTTAGAGTGTAAATGGATTTTTAGCACTTCATGTTGGCAGGCCGTGCCAATCTGAGTCATTCATTTTTCTGTATTCATGTGTGACTGTGCTCTGTCCACTTGCATGGATTCTCTTGCAAAACATCACCTGCATCATTGCACTGATAATTACATTATTTTTGTTTGTTTAATAGTTTTTGTTTTTTGTTTTGTGTTTATATGTATTATTCTTATGGACTGTACACTAAGGTGTCATGTTTTAGTTTACCCCTAGTTTAGCTCATGTTCACTAAATTGTACTTTCTTTTTCTTTCTTTTCTTTTTTTTTTCATAACACTGACTTGCGTAGTTTGGATTAGTTGGTTGTAACATGAGTTTCATAACCCAGGCTTGACCTCAGACTAATTAAGGTACAAATTTAGACAATGATCAAAATCAGCATTATTATGACATTATTCAATATAGAGATAGAATTGTGTTTTGAAAATAAAAGCTTAGCTTAGCTTGCAGCAGTATATTTTGTACTGAATATGATATGGAAAAGAACATATAATATTGAAACGTTTTTTGTTTTTTATACATATGCTAAATTACATTATTGACTATGTCATCCATAATTAAAAAAAAATCAGTATCATCCACCCCAATTCAGGACATCAGTTCTCCAAATGTCTGCTCTATCATTTTGTCTTGCTGGTTGCACAATCTCAATTGTGATTTTCTAATAGAGGGGTTAACAGCCTACGTCACTTTGTGCTCTGCGCATGTCTCCTGCAGAAAGAGCAGTTGTCCTGTTTGTATCATGTCAGTGTCTTGTAGGATTTCAACAGATTTCAGGCTTTCTCGGGGGCGGGACTAGTTGTATCAATCAGGCACGATTGGATGTCCAGCTACGGAAGTTTGAGCCATTTCTTCTTGTCATTTATGCACTCACCTGCATTTAAAGCATATGGGTCATTAAGATGTATCCCATTCACTAATGTTAATTTAGCAACTTATTTTATCACACAGTGGTAAACTGTTTTAGTGCTCTGACAACATCACTAACATCATCATGTTAACTGTGCAGACAGTGGCTCTTTCTTCACTCAGGCTGCGCACGCATCCGCTGTGTTGATAAACAAATAATCTGTCTATACTGTGCCTCAATGAAATGTTGTCATCTTTTAATTCTAAATTGAGTCAGAGCCTGCACACTTTAATAGAGTCATCCTGACTGTTTGGCGTGACAGCGTGACTCTTGTGTGTTCATCATATGTTCCTGGCTTCATTCTGACCAGAGAAGAAGGTCCCACCACCACGAGGGGCCCCAGCTGTCCCTCACACTTCACACCTATACTCAACAACAACCACTCAATACCACGCTCACCAGTCACCACTGGTGATCATGTGACCCTCTGCTCTGTATTGTTGGCCAAAAATAAACAGTCAGACATTCCTTTCAAAGCTAATGGTGGGTGTATTCAGGTTGGAAATATTGTTTCTGTCCCCCCACTGAATGTTGGGTCAGGCAGGGGAAAGCCCTGCTCTGTGGACAGGCTAGGGTCAGACATGTTGACTGCAAAGTGTAGGAGTTGGGACTCTGGAGTAGGTGGCTTTCACTGGTGGTATAGGGAAACCCCCCAGGCTGTAGCAGAAGGAGTACCTTCCGAATACTGGCCCAACATTTGAGCAAATAACTGAACCAGCATCATGTCTCTGTACAGTAAACAAGTTCTATGGTGCATCGGTGCCTTTATGTTCCTACTGAGCCATGCCTGCATTTATTTCACTATTTTTCACAACTCTAAGCTGCACACAGAATAATGCAGAACTCTCCCAGGGTTTGTTCCTGAATTGTTCAAATGTAACTATTTGTTTTAGCTCTACCTGTGGTCTGTTAGAGCATGAATTATTCATCTCATTTAAATGGCCTTCAAAGATTCACTTGCCAGTAGTGATTTTATCTGTAATAATTAAGTAATAATTAATATGTGAAGATGCTAGATGCATTGTAGTAGAAATACCATCTATTGAATGGCAATGTGGTGTAGTTAAGCACTGCCTTACAACAAAGGTCCTTGGTTCTGTTTCCTGAGAGAATAGGACTTATTTGGGAGTTGAACTCCTCTGGAGATGATATTCTGCACTCTGAATGTTTGTAGTGCACTACACCTGACATACAGTTTTTGCTCCATCTTTGTTTGCACTAATCAGTCAGAATACAAGTTTGTGATGACCTCAGTCTCAAAAAAATATAGCAGAAGCTGGCAATGAATATGAACTAGGAAGTGTGTGTCCGTCTGGTAGGCTACACTGTATGGGTTCAACAGAGCACTTCTGTTCAGTGCTTGCTCTCTCTGCTTCTGCTTGTTCATTTATTTGTGTGGTGATGGTGATGTCATTTCCAGTGAACTACAGTGGTGTGTGGCCCAAAGGAGAGGCGTTTGTGGCTGTTCTCAGAAGAGAAGAGGACAGCAGTTGGGAGGTGAGGTAGAACAAGGCGTGTGAGGCAACAGCTGAGTGCAGGACTGTTGCATCAATCAGGCTGAGACATCTGAGTCAGATCTGACTATGAGCATGGATAATCATTATGCTGCGGTAATTTAGAAAGTGTGACCAAAACATCCCATCATTTGCATTTTGTCAGTATCTCAAATATGCCAAAAACACTTTTTCTAATTTCCAACTTTTTTAGTATTCTTTTATGTGCTATGTTATGCATTATTCTATGTGTTATTTGATGTTTGATATATCAAATAAGGATTTTCTTTAGTATAACTCAAAATTATTTTTCGACAAAGTAAGTAAGAAGAAACAGTAGTTTTTGTTAACGTATAATTGAAAAAGGTAATTGTTGCACCTGTGTGACCCATGTGTCTTTATAGTGCAGTGTAGTGTTGTGGTGCAGAGCACAGCCCTCAGAAGGAATAACCAATTGTGGACTGAGATTCACTTTGCTCAGGCTCAGTTGACAGAATTAAACAGCTGAAATGAACGTTCTTGCTCCCTCAGAAACTTGTAGACCTGTAGAGTTACTACTTTGGTTGTGTCTGGTTGAGTGTGGGTGGGTTTACCACTGTATTTTTTTATGTGGACTCAAAAAGCCCAGCATTACACTTCCCTGAGTGATGATTTTTCTATCATGTAAAATGTTGGTGAGCAAAGAAACAGTTTCTCAGACAAGATATCTTGGCAAAAGCCATGTTTCCTGTTGGTTATTGTAATTCCACAACTCTGCTGTATGAAACATCATAGAGAGGTGTTTCTTCAGTAATCAATCCACTGACTTTGTCCAAAAAGTGGGCATTTAATGTGGTGGGTATTAATTGCATAATATATAGATCTTAGTTAGCCAAACTTCATTTTCAAATGAAGTGACAGTATTACTTTTAGTACGGTAATGCAATACATGCAACAATGTCCAGTTTTACTGCAGCCATTTATCACACAGTGAGTGCACCTTATGGGCAGTAGAAGCTCTTCTGTTGATGTTGTGGGCTCTTTCCTTAGAAAAGAGTTGATGGGGAATGCTGCTGTGGTCTTGGCTCTTGTTCAGGATGATCAGGATTAGTGAGGAGAAACTCAGCTGTGGAGTCTCTGCATCATGTGAATCAATTGTACATTTGAAAGTGCTGTTGGTTGGAAGTCTGATTTGCATGTTTCCCTCCTCCAATCTAGTACTTACTTTGCTGGTTAAGTTAAATGTTAAGATAATGTAATCACATACTTATGTTGTTGCAAAAATTATATATCTCTTGAAGATAAAAAATGAATCCATTTGCGAAGCCCCATGAGTTTTTGGAATATAGATCAAGGTTTATTCTTGTTACAGCAGATATGGACAGGGCCTAGCCCTGTTCTGGCCAAAGCCCAACAGCCTCTCCCCACCAGCAGTATGTCCCTACTACATCTCCCATCGTATCCCCCATGTCTCTCCCCATGTTATCTCCCAGTGTTACAAAGCACCAAGTTTATATAGCCTGAGATGACCAGAAGACATACATTTCAAAGTGAGAAGGTGACGACTCCTACTGAGGTGTGGTCAGATGTGCTTGATCTGATTTGCTCCATATTCACCTGCATTTGTCACTTCCTGACAAGATTAGCAAGCAAAAGGGAACAGATATTTACATTGAAGGGTCTTTCTAACAAGCCAAATGAGTTTTAGTTACAAGACCAAATGTGTTTCTAAATGATAAACTAATCACTATTTTAATGTAATCAATCATAATCAGTATTTTCCTGTGGGGGTCTGGTCTCAGGTAAAAATCACATTCATTTACACAAAGACAGAATGAGAGAAATCTTTCCACAATCAAAATTTCTATCACACTTATTTATTTATTTTTTACAACTTTTGCCACTTTGATACTTGTCTTCTACAACTGTGACTTAAAATTATTTGGTTTTCTTTTCCCCTGCCATCAGACTCGCAGAGGTCCCACTTGTCCTCTTTCACTATGAAGGTGATGAACAAATTCCACTCTCCCAAAATCAAGAGGACCCCATCCAAGAAAGGCAAACAGCCGCAGCCTGAACCAGTGGCCAAGAGTACAGAGAAACCACCCAACAAGGTGTGTGCTTAAGTTTGTCTATTTATTTATAATTTTCAGAACAATACAATAGTTTAGTGCTTCATTATTCTATAGTGTACAGGTGTCTTTTGAACTATAAAGACATTGATAGAATCCAACTGCTTCCTCAAGGAACTACTTCACAACATAATTAGTTTCCCGTTTCTATATTCCCTTGTGATTATCCAAATTAAGAGATTTGACCATGAAAACTAGGTATAAAACTTGCCTATCTAACAAATTAAAGACAAGGATGAATAATGCAGTTAATTTAAATAATTTCATGTGATGCTGATGTTTTTTCTATTTATTCAGAAGGTGAGCCGCCTGGAGGAGCATGAGAAGGAGGTTGTGAGTGCACTGCGTTACTTTAAGACCATTGTGGACAAAATGGTTGTTGAGAAGAAAGTACTAGAGATGCTTCCAGGTTCGGCCAGCAAAGTACTAGAAGCCATCTTGCCTCTAGTTCAAGTGGAGGCCCGGATACAGCATAGGTTAGTTATATATGTGTGTACATTTTATTTGTTGCTGCGTATTGATATTTACATTTTTACTATTATTATATAAATAAACCCGCAGTGTTACATAACTTCATCAACAAAAATCAAGAGTAAGTGTTGTTCTGGCTTTTCTCCTCATTCTTCCCATTCTTGTCTCTGTAACATTTCCGATGTTTCTATCTGGGCAAGTTCCAACTCGTGAGACATGGACTAATATTTAAGTAGACATCTGACATCTCTGAAGATATTTGTGTGTTTTATCTGGGAAATGGCTGCTTAGTTTATTGAAACTTAGATGGTGTTATGGTTTAACAGTAGTAAGATGCTAGTAACAGTCTAAACTTCAGCTTTAGAAAAAGTTGTCCGTCAGTGTAGGAAGTCATACAGGTGATAAAGAGTGTAGCTGAGTGCTCTGTGTTTAGTGACGATTGATGGATTGTTGCAACATTGCGGAGCAGCCATCTGTGCAAATTTGACTCCAGCCACGACTCAGACCGCACTAGATCATAGGTGGATGTATGTCTAGCAATTACATCTTTTATTTTCTTACATAGCACATAGTTGCACTACCAACAATTGTACAACCAGTTAATGTCAAATATTACTGTTAAAATATACAAAGCTAGATTGTTTGTGTCTGTGTATGTATATATCCAAATAAGAAGGGAAATTGTAGGTGTGGTTGATTTATTTTCACACTACTTAATTTGTAACACTGCATTTTGACACCTGTAAGATGTTAAATATGTTAATGTAGCTTCTCCTGTTGATCTTAACCATTACTTATGATTCTACATGCATGTATATTTCATGTTATATATACTGTACTATCCAGTCCACCTTTCAACATCCCTCAAAATTTGTGATCTAAATCTCTACTCCATTCACCATCCTCAGATCTAGCTCTGGCCCATTCATAAGCTGCTGACAAATCCATCACTAAATGGAATGACTCTTGAAAAAATATTGTTTGGAGAAATTTAAACCTGCAGTATATCACTTAGATACAACATTTAACTGTCAGCTGCGATCTTGTGTTTAATCCATGTGCATATAAAACTGCTTAAAGTAGACTCAAAATTTAAATGTATCTTGTCAAGCAGCAATTGGAAGGAATCTGGTTCAGTCACGAATGTCCCATCTCTCGTGCAGACACTGGACGGATATCCCAGCCCTTGATTTCAGCTGCTGCATGTTAATACAGGCCTATACACCACCTTGGACTCATTTCTGTGTTGGAAGTTCACTCTAAATGCAAATAACACTAGTTCAGTCATATGCTCTTGTACAATCTAATGAGGAGATATTCTTAACCCCTCAAGCCTCTATTTACACATTTTTCCTGGGTGTGTACTTTGTAGTAATTGAGGAATGCGCCTTGCAGTCATACAGCAAGATGTTTTGCTGTATTTGTGTATTTACTTGCAGTCACCTTTTTTCTTTACCTGTCTAATCTCCTCTCAACGCTGCAGGCCTCCAGTTGTGTTTTCGCATTGTTTAATGAAGAAAAACTTATCTTTTTTTCTTCGTACAGTACTGCACTTTCTTCCTGTCACAACCGAGTCTACCAGAGTCTGGCAAATCTTATAAGATGGGCCGACCAAGTAATGCTCGATGGCATAGACCTGGAAGACAAGGAAAATGTGGCTGCAGTCACCAGTGTTATCAAAGCTGTTTTGGATGGTGTTAAGGTATATGAATATAAGCTCAACATGTCTATATTTGGGTTGGTAACAGACAATTGCCATATCTCTTTAAAGGAATTGGTGAAGCTTACCATAGAGAAACAGGAACAGCCATCACCTACCACTCCCAACAAACCTGTACCACCTGCTTCCACAGCAGAGAAGTAAGCACAATGATTACAAACACACTGGAACTTCTACTCACATTTTAGTGATTAATGTTTTTTTTTTGTCTGTGCAGTAGTGAGACACCCTCACTGGAGCAAGAGCAGGAGCTGTCCCCAAAACCAACTCCTGCATCTCCTCTGGCAGAGGCTTCCACTGATGGACCAGATGAGGATGTGGCCCCCCCAAAACCACCTCTTCCTGAAGCCAAGATGGCAGAGCTCAGGTGAGAAAAAAATACAGTTCAGAGTAGTGTACATTTCAAGATCAATCTATCAGTTTGCTGTTAAATCTCTCTATGCTTCTCTCTGGGAATGGTTCACTTATGAGTGCAGTCAGTTTTCTGGTTTCAATCTCTTTCTGCTCTTTTCCATTTGTTTATCTCTGGGTTCTGGGTGCAGAGCACAGTTGAGTGCTGATGCTGGCCAAAGAAGACCTTGCCAAAAGGAGAAGTATGTTAGCTAGTTGGATTGTCTCTTTCCATTTTAACACCCTACAGTAGAGCTCCATTTAAAGCTTCTAGATTGGATGTATTTTGGTCTGCATGGTTGCATTGCCCCAAAAGTCTTTCCTCCAAGGTATTTCCGGAAGAAGACATCCAATCAGAAGGCAATTCAGTGCATGACTGTGTGTGCCCAACTATGCTGTTATAATGAGTCCAACATTGTGGTCCTGTATATTTTAATCTGTGCATAACATGATTTAACAGAAGGCTACACAGAGTGGCTTTATTTCATTCAAGGCTAACATGATGCCTCTTCTACTTCATCTCACTATTCACCAGAGGGGACGATAAAATTCATGTATTCATACAGAGTTAGTGTGTGCATACATGTCATAAAATTATGTATAACTGCCTGCCTTGTGATTTAATTACCATAAAAAACAAACACTGTTATTGAAGTATTAACTTTATTTATTGTTTTTTTTATAGTCCTCCCCCAGCCTTGCCACCTAAAAAACGGCAGTCGGCTCCATCACCGACGCGGGTTGCAGTGGTAGCTCCCATGAGCCGTGGGTCCAGTTTACCCTGCAGTGTTCATAGACAGGTAAGGGTTTGCCCTGTATCTTTAAGAGAATTTTCTTAAAAGTGTATTCATAACATTGTATGTGTGCAGCAGCAGGACTATGAACAGGAGTTTCTTCAGAGGCGATTCTCAGGAGGAAGCCAATCATATGGTGGGGACTCCCCTCGCCTGTCTCCATGCAGCAGTATGGGGAAACTTAGCAAATCTGATGAGCAGCTTTCCTCTATGGAGCAGGACAGTGGACAGTGCTCTCGTAACACTAGCTGTGAAACTCTTGGTAAGTCAACCATAAAACTAAATAAAATGGTCAAATGATGCATTTAACCACACTAAATGGTATGCAATTTCCCATTTAGACAACGCAGAAAACTATGACCCAGATTATGACTTCCTCCATCAGGACTTGTCTAATGGAGAAAACCTGCCCCCTATCCCTGTGGGGGGGTGTCTCAGCCCCCTTCCAGAATCTCACAGTGAGTCTTCTTCCCCAGTGCCTGGACAGTACCCTTCACATCCTCGCTTCAGTGCCCCTCCGCCACAGCATCCACCGGAATACTGGACCCCGCAACCAAACCAGACCAACCCTTTACATTCATCCCGTGTTAGTGCACCTCCTGCATTGCCCCAAAAGAAGAGACGAAGCACTCAGACTTCAGATGGGTCTAGGGTGCTGTACGAGCGTTACCCATCTCAGTATGACAACTTGTCAGAAGAGGAGCTGCATCCAACACCACCCTTCCCACTTTTTACACCCATTTCACCAATGCCACAGTCAAATGGAGGCGTTTTTGTTGCTCAATACATGGCCAGTGAGAATGCGGATGTGCCCTCCAGCCCACCACCACTGCCTGAGAAGAAAAGTCGAAACAGTAAGTGAAAATCAAAGAGTTGTTTGAGATATGGTGGATATTGTCAAGTCTGGAAAAAGTTTAACTATTGGCATAAAATGTTAAGAAGTATAAGGAAAATGCAATATACAATTTTGCGCTTATGTTATGGCTACCATCAGAATTTGAATAATTCTCATCAGTTATTATTGTCATGCCAAGAAATTTTCACATCATGTTACAATGTTATAGTACAGACAGGAAGTTGGTACCGGATAGTCTACAATGGGTCTAGGGTTAAAGAGGGCAACATTGCTCTTTTCCTGACACACCTGCCTCTTCATCACTTCCCCCTGGACTACTGTATTAGGTCACTTTATACAGCCCTTCCTGTCTGTGTTCATTTGTTAGACGTACGGCTATACATACACATAACTATATAACTATAACTATAAATATATATATATATATATACACACATACATATGTAACCCTACGTTGGTAGTACTGTTTATAATAGTTCTAAATGTCTAAAGTGAGGGTTATCTAAATCAAGGTTCAATGAGGTTGAAAATAGGTCAAATAGTTAATAAACTGATAGATTCCACCCCCAAAAGAAGCACACTACAACAGATTGGTGATTAAATGTTGAATTGATAATTATTATTCTGCTCTTTTGTCTATCCACAATAAATTACAATAACACAAAATATCTTTACTCATTTGGCCAACAACATCTGAGATCTCAGGAAATAACATCAAAATAAAATATTGTTCAATCCAAACAATATTATCCCGAGTACACTCAATTAGAAAAAATGTCCTATCGCCCCTTTAATACTCAGTGTCAGTACAATCGTTGCAGCGCTGTTAGGCGAGGAGGTGGACCAGGGAACCAGGCACCAGGGTGAACGAAGAGAAATCCAGCGCAGGTAGAACCACGAATAGGACCAGGAATCAGGGAGAACCAGGAGCCAGACCCTCTAAAAAAACCAGTCTACAAAATGTACAGGAAATTACTACAACTGTCCATTTTTTCAGATTAACTGTACACTTGTAAACACTGAACATAAACTAAAATTGGCCTTTAGCATACAAAATTAAAATTTGTTCTCCTTTTTAAAGTACAAATCATTTGATTTTCCAAAATTGAAATTTACAATTCGCCCCAACTGGTTTTATCAACAATAGGGCAGTAACACAACAGAAATTGACTTACCGGGATAACATGTACTTTTTCAAAATTTTCTTCCAGTTCCAATGCAGTTCAAATATTCACAGAACCTTTAGGATATCATTAGTTAGTTTCAGGATTTAGTTAAATTACAAAATCTACATTTATTTCAATTTTACCTCTTGTGGTCTCAGTCTGTGCAGCTTAGCAAGATGGCCGCCAGCGGTAGTATTTCAGTGCACTTCCACCTAGTGGCAAAACTGGGGGTTGCAGTTAAATTCGGTTTGAAGTTAGATTTCATGTAGGGATTTTATTGGGCAAAATTAACAGGGTTACACATACATACACATACATACATATACATATACATACACATACATACACATACATACATACATACATGCATACATACATGCATACATACATATACATACACACACACACATACATACGCACACATATACACACACACACACACACACACATACATACATACACACACACAGACACATACATACACACACGCAGACACACACAGACACACTTACACACACACATACACACACACACATACATACACACACACATATACATACATACACACATATACACACATATACACACACACACATACACACACACACACACACAAACATACATATAGATACATACACATACATACATACATACACACACACACATACACACACATACACGTACACATATATACACACACACATATACACACACACACATATATACACACACACATATATACACGCATACATTCAAACCTAAAATGAGTTCTCATGAAAAACAATACAGCATAAAATTAAATGTTTACCCTCTCTCATATTATGTTTTCATCTTCTTTTATTAGTTCTCCAGTACATGCAGTTTGTGGAAGACTACTCTGAGCCACAGCCCTCTGTATTCTACCAAATGCCACAAAGCGAGAGCATCTATGAACAGCGTAATAAGCGCTTTCAAGAAGTCTATGGCTTTAATGACTCCTTTAGCAGCACAGATTCTGTCCATGAGCCAGTACAACCTCCAGCACTACCCCCAAAGCAAAGGCAACTGGTAAGAAATATTGAATTTCTAAGAAGTCTTTCCCAAAGATTAATGTAAATAGTTTTTTATGTTTTGTTTTAAACAATGAGAAACACTGTCCACTGTATAATTTATTTTCAATCTTCTTCAGTTTAAATGAAATCTAAGACTATGTCCTTTTATTTTAACTCTTCCTTACATCTTTATAAACTACTACTACTGCATCACCCTTTACTTATACTTGTACTATACAGCTCTTTTAAAAATAAGGGTAACTTTTATAAGCTTCATAATAGACCACAGACTGTATATGTAAATAGCCATGACTAACTCACTAACTACCTCGATCCCATTGAGCATGGAGGGCACTTCTGACTCCATTTACTCTGGCTCAAATTGACTTTACATTGAAAAATTGTAACTACTCTCTCTGTAACTGCTGCAGTGAGCCTCATCATTTTAAAATGTTCATTTTAACCATCTCTACATAATCCTGGTGTTTTTATTTCACTATTTTGTCCATAAATAAATTCCTATTCCTAATATGGGTCTCAGCTTTAAATTTGCCACTATAACTACTAGCATGGTGAGCATCATTTGACTGGAGCCAAACGCTCTGGTTGACTTTACACTCCCTTAGGCCACTTCTTTATACAGTCTATGCAATAGACCCAGTTTGTAGCACTTGTCTCTAATGAGTGACACTAGGGGATGACTAATCCAAGAGGAGCCTGATCAGTGGCTGTAATGCATTTTAAATGCATCTCATCAGATTTTTTGTGGTGTTGGCTAACAGAACTAAGGCCGGGACAAACTTGTGTTCACAGGAGCAAAGCCTAATCTTGGCACTTCTTGTGGATTTTATGAAACTATGATCTAGTTAAAGACCATCTTTACAAAACCAGCCTCATATGCTCTCCAGAGTTTATGTGGATTAAAAAACCTACAGAGAGAAATGCGTTGTGCCCCCATTCACAACATGCTATACTTTGTAGTTGACCTGATTTTTTTACCCCTCATAATTAGTTTATGATTTGTACTTTTTCATACATTGTCCTCTGGTAAACAGCTCTAATTTATTCTTTATAACCACCTTTCACTTCTACTCACGTAATTATTAACACTTTCTCCTCTACGTGTCTTTTTTTTCTTCCTGGGCCTTGGTTTCTTCTCAGGCCTCTCACTCCTCTTCCCCTTCTTCCTCCTCTTCCTCCTCTTTGTCTTGCCACCTCCAGCCGTCTGTAGCGGCCATGGAGGACTCAGGCTCAGGGCTGGGCCTCAGCATGTCTGTCTCTAACTCTTACCTGATTGGCCAGACATCTCTGACCACGCCCACGGTGAGTCTCTCGCCTCAGCCCCATCTCCTCATAGTCCTAGCATGGCCTGGGTGCTGTGTGGTCTGCACCAGTCAAGGGTCACCTTCATCTTAGTGATCCCCATAAAATGGCTGGTAGTGTTCACCTGTCCCTAATGGGCTGGAGATGTGGCTGCTGTGTGTGGTCCTGTTTTGTTTACTCACCCATTTGTGTGTGCTTTAGTTGTGTTGATTAATATGATTTGTCTTAAGTTTAAGTTGTAGTGTCTTTGTACTTGTTTTGTTTGGTGTGATTTTTGGTAAATCTGTCTTTTTTGGGTAGTTTTTGTAGGAAATAAGAAGCAATTAAAATGAAAAATAAATATGCATTAGATATTCAGCAATCAGTTGATTGTTTATGTGGTTAATTTGGTTTTGCAGTGAACTTTGCTGTTGATGGTGATGTAGGATTGCAGTGGTTGACCCAGTGTAGGAGGCAGGGAGGATGTCCCTCAGGAGATCTGTGTTGGAATGCAGCTCCAGATGGACCTGATGGAAAACACATTTCTCTGTATGCTCCATCATCTCATCATCTGACAGTCACAACATTAGATGGTGGATTTGGAAAAATACTTTCACCAATTCAAGTTTCCATTTCATCTGTTGTTTATGTTAGTTTGAATATTACATATTTCCCATAGACAAGTTGCATTCAAAACAGTACACTTCTTATTTATTTAAGCACGTATTTAGGTTGCGTTTTTATACAGCCCTTAAATATTAAATATTTGCTCTTTAATCTGTCCAACATCTACAAAAAGGTTTACAAATGGCAGTTGTCTTACTGTGGTTTACTTTTTGGTTTATAGATTGGACCAGCTCACACCTATATATCATCAAACAAAACATAGCTTTTGTTCTCACCAGGTTGTGAGCTCTAAACCTCTCGTCTCAGTGCCCCTACATGTTTCTGTCTCATGCCTGTCCTTTTTCTTTGGAATGTTTGCATTCCTCAATTCCTTAGGGCATGAGGTTTTGAGGATGTCATAGAAGAGGAAAGGGTGCTGGGAAAGCTGCTTTGCATAGAGTGGAGTGGGAAAGGCCGAAATAAATGTTCTCGTTGTCATTTGATTTTAAGAATTAATTTCCCATTCTCATGAACATTTATTCAGGGATTTTCTGTGTGCCTGC